CTTTTTAGCCTTCTCCTTTAACCCCTTTATATAGGCGTGGGGTGGAGTAGTCTCCAAGAAAACCCTAGTGAATCATCGGGCTTGAGGCTTGTGGGCCGACCCATTTGATAGAAGATCAACTAATGGGCTAGTCCAATGGTATATTGGACCTTTATTTAAATCAATTTAATTAGATTTAAATAATTGACCCAATTATATTAGCCCATGATATTTATTTGTACTAATATATATTTAATTTATGGCAAAATTTAAATCTTTTATGGATTTAAATTTAATAAAATTTTAACCGTCTACAAATATTTTTGTAAAGATATTATCTGTCGTATCTTAACTAATAAGATTTAAAAAAAATTACATTGAAAGATAAAAATAGCACCTCTATCTTAAGATAATTATAAAGATAATAATATAGGGGTGATAAAAAAAATACGATAAATTTATACATTAATATGATAAATAGAGTGTGTCTATATATATATATATATATATATATAAGATTTCAATGTAGAAATATTTGGAAGGATACGACTTATTTGGTTTTTGAGAAGAGAAAGTATTTTAAACAATAGCGAATAAAATTTGCATTGTGGTTAAGCCAAGTGACAAACTACTATAAAACCACTTGGCAATTTAGTATAATATTAATACTAATACTTAATTTAAATTTAATTTTATTTTGAATCTGAATGGAAAGACATTGAATATTTTTGTAAAGATGTTGTCTGTCCTATCTTAACTAATAAAATTTACAAAATAAATAAATTGAAAGATAAAAACAACGCCTCTATCTTAATTAATTATAAAGATAGGAGTATAGGTATTATAAAAAATATGATAAATTTAAACATTAATATGAACAATAGAATAAAAGAATAAAAGTAAATAAAAAATTTACTACAAGAAAAAAATATATTTTTATTTATAATGTATTATAATGGATGTAATGGACAAGAATATGATAATTTTAATTTATAGGTAATGCAATATGGACAAGAAATTATGGTAATTTTAAGAGATTTGAGAAATTTCTGCTTTTTTATTAACATTTATTTAATGATTATATATAACTTTTATCTAAAAGATTAATATTTTAAAGTTATTTGCACATAAATCAAATAACTCAAATTACAGGTTTGTGTCCGCGAATCGCACGAGTACTAATACTAGTTGTATTTTAAATAAAAATCATCACATCCACACACCTCATTAATGTGATTAGCACGCACTTCGGCTACGTCAGTCATGCCGTGATCACATAAGCATGATCAACGGTCAAATATCTTTGTTAATAGTCATTCCGTTAAATAGAGGTGTTAAAATGTAAAAAATGGGAGTTAGGGGACCGACTTTAAAAAAATGGACAAGTATCAAAAGCCAAAAGAATTTCCTACTGGGGTAAAAAACGAAACAAAAACGCCAAATAAAAGCGCTTCGGAGCTCGGTGGTGCTCTTCCTCTCTGATTTTCGGTATGAACTATTAAATTCGGCTGATTTTCGCATTCTTTTAACAACCCCTTTAATGTATAAATAACCAATTAGTTCATTATAATTTATAATCAAGTTCTTGTAAGATTTACAATCTCATGCTTGTTCACAAACTGTTTGTGAAAATGTCTCAACCATATTTTATTTTACCATTTGGCGAATCATGCTTTTAAATAGATATATATTGCTGGGTCCTTGAAGTTCATGTAACTGTTTCGAGGAAATTAAGCATTTTGATATCAAATTTTTGTTTCCTGGTTAAGTTTTTTTTTAATTTATTTCTAATGACGGTAGTGTCATGGCAAGCTTGTTCCTTTTCAAAAAAAGGTAAGCTTGTGGGCACCTCCTCTTTTCTACGTTGCTACCTCCCTCCAGCATAGAAACCGGGTAACTCTGCCACCAAGTCCTGGGCAGATGGAATGAAATAACCTAGTGTTTTTTCGCCTCCATTTAGATTTGAACCTGAGAATTCACGGTTTTTGTTCCACTTTATTGACCACTAGCCCATAATCTTGGGTGCGTTTCAGAATTCAGTTTTTTATTTTTCAGAATTGGGTTGCAATGATAGCGGGGAGTCGTATTCGATTGAAGGGGTGGCAGCAGGCTGCAGTTGCAGTTGGTTCTGCAGTTGGAGCGTTGTTAGATCCTCGAAGAGCAGATCTCATTGCTGCTTTGGGAGAGACAACAGGGAAACCAGCTTTTGATAGGGTTCTTGAAAGGATGAAAAAGAGCCCTGAAGGCAGAGTAAGACCTTTTTTACTTTATTTATTTCAATTCATTTTTCTGTTGAATGCAATGGCTTGCTCGTCATTTATATATTTGGCTTGTAATAATTGCAAATTATATTTCTTTTAAAAGTGATTTTGCGGAAGGGAGATTTGGTGCCTGTTGCCACACTAGGCTGAGTTAGCCACTGATAGGCATTGATCTTACGTTGCTTACATCAGGTTACTCTAGAACTAAATCAGAATTGATATCTTGCCTATATGAAATTTGGTTTACTATGCGTTGCTGCTCACTTGTGAACCTTGGTGACAACTGAAGTCATCATGAACTCACGAAAAGCACCAGCTTTGAGCATCTTCCACTCCCTTCTTACTTTGTACTGATAGTTAATGAGGAAATGAATCCCCAACTCAATGAAATAGTCCAACTGGTTATAAATGATGGCAGTTCCATCTTACTCCTACCATTTACAAGTAGAGCATTGAAGCCAAATTCTCAATATTATGAGAAGACTGATCACCTAGTTCTTCAAGTGCCAGTTAAGGATGTCCACTTGCTTCAATAGACTGAGAAATACTGCAGTTTGTACCCCTTACTATTTGCTGCAATTTATTGAGCTATTCTGTAGCAGGTTTAGGTTGCCTCATGCATCACTCATTTCAATGACCTCCAATTTGATTATGCATTTTTTAACCATACTCATCATGACTAGTGCTTAATCTCGCTTGATGCTACACTAAAAAACAATCTCTTGAGTTTTCTATGATAATATGACTCTGATTTGCCCAGTTCATGCTTCTCGTTTCTTTCATGTTAACCAAGTACAATGATTTCAGCAACTTTTTGAGAAAGAAGAGATAAATTCTATTGAAGATTAGGTTTCCACACAGGCAGATAAAGATGTCTGAATTCTGAAGGCACCAAGTCAATTATTTTACATGCGTAAAAACCTTTTTTTTACCAACATGCTGCATACAACCTTCTTGAGGCGTATAAAATAATTGAGGTACTAGAGCATCTGTTGTGCTCTCTCATATGCCTTGAGATGGGAATCTAGATCCCTGGGGCCATCTGCCACTGCTGATTTAACTCTCCGAAGTGTCTCTTTTGCCTCACCAACTCTCCCTTGTTTCATCAAGCAAATACCCAAATTGCTATGTGTTGTTTTCTAATGCAATCAAATATAGAATTTCTTGATTATAAGTAGCTCGGGTACTTCTAAAAATAAGCTTTGACCGAAGTACACAATTTTTGGTTAAACAGATAAAGAAAGGAACGAGAATTGGCGGAATAAAGGAACAAAGATAATTAGAATTGGAGTTAAAAATCAAATTAGGAGAAAAAACGAAACAAAAGAATGCAAAACACCTTTGACGTTGAAGTTGAAAGCGACAGAAGTTTTGGAAAAAAAAGGGATGAAGACGAAGTAGGTTATAGGTTAGAAATTTGGAGTTAAAATATATTAAAAAAAAGGTAAAGGGTAAAATAGAATTATGGAGTAATAAGTTAGTGCATAATTAGAAAGAAAAATAGGAAACAATCCCACCACATCAAATCAGTTGTTTAAAAAAATGGGATTTTTCATTATTCCGGAACAATGGATTTAACAATACAATACAACCAATTTTAACGAAACAATCAAAACAAACATTGTTTTGGAATAACAATACAATACGATACAATGGGTAACAACCATCCAAACAAGCTGTTATAGTTGTGTATATATATCCGATACCTGATAGAAGGATGGCTATACTTCTGGGAACGAACCATGGGCGAATATGAAGTTTGTGGATATTAGTTATGCAATGGAATGAAAGACAATTCTGAATCCGCTTCTTCTATGAACAAGGAAGCTGTAAATAATACAACTATGAATCTCACGAACAGTTCGATCCCGGCTCAGGATGAATGCTGGAGAGTGGGATGGGAAGTGGTGTTTTCCCTGGCAGATGAGTGAGTAACCCATAAGAACCTGTATTTGAGAGGTCAACAATAACTGGAAACAGCTGCTAATACGTTGAAGGCTTGAGAGCAAAATTACAAATGAAATACTATATGATTTTGGTTGAATTCTTTTCAAAAAACAGTAAACGCTACTCTATACTTCAAATCTCTAAAATGGAAAAAGCTAGAAAGTGATAATATTGTCACTTCCCAACTAATAGCCTGGGCTCATCCTGATAAGCGATACCCACATTATTTTATTTATCGATACTTTTAGTGGTTGTTTGGTTCATGGACAAAGTTATGCAGGATAGATAATATTGGCATTAATAATCCATGGTTATGTACTAGTGCTTTATTTGGTTCATTGAATTAAAAATAGGATATACGACTTATAATCCAGAATATTTGTTTGGTATGAAGTTGGATAAATTTGGATACGTTTCTGTTTCCAATTTTAACATTAAATATTTCAGTTATGACAGTGAATAGGGCTCTTGAGGGGGTAACATTGTCATGTTGATAACTATATCTAGGTTAATTGATCCTGCTATTATTAATAAATAACACCAAGATGTTGGTATAAAATTTGTACCGGTATTGGCTAATACCGGTAAACAAATATTGTCAGTGTTTCATACCGGAATTAGAATTCTAATCCAGTTAACCAGATGGCCCGTTAGAAAACTCATTTGTTTTCTTAGCAGAATACTTTCATGTTATGGCAAAAAAAAAAAAATGCTTTGTACTCGTAAAACATTTTTTAATATTTACATTTCAATTTACCGTCTTTCTGAGCCGAGGGTCTATCGGAAACAACCTCTCTGCCCTATTGGGGTAGGGGTAAGGTCTGCGTACACATTACCTCCCCAGACCCCACTTGGTGGGATTTTACTGGGTAGTTGTTGTTGTTGTTACATTTCAATTTAAATGGTAAGAATAAAAGCAGTATTGACTTCAAATAGTTAATATGTTATAATAGGTTTAAACTTTACATCCAAGAGTGTAGTCTAGTGGTCAACGAAGTGGATTGAAAACCATGATGTCTTAGGTTCAAATATCAGCGGAGACAGAAATACTAAGTGATTTCTTTCCATCTGTGCAAATCTTGATGGACAAAAAGCTATCTGGTACCTGTTGACGGTTTCAAGCTAAATATTCTTATATATTTAATGAATTTTTCAATACAAATACCGGATCTAGACAAAAGTTACTGGGTTCACGGGAACCCGTATCTAACCCACTGGATCCGCCCCTGTTGCTAGTGGGAGGTAGCAGTATCTCGTGGAATTAGTCGAGGTGCGTGCAAGCTGGTCCAGACACCACAAGTATAGAGAACATATTTAAACTTTAAAATAAAATATTATGAGTATTATTTTAAGAAAGTAAAATGTTTGTATTGTTTCCTAGAACAAATTGATTTCCATTCTCCCTTTAACGTGCCATGTGAATATTTAGTCTGTGTGGGCTAGTTGTGGCAAGTAGGAATTTTATTAAAGTTGGTTTTGTAACATCAACAAAGGCAGATTCAAAAATTTAAGTTTGTGAGTTTTGCCGCAACCCTTTTTTGCTTACTAGGTTTGAGTAAATTAGTTATATATATTAAGTGAATTTCTTAACAAATTCAAGGTGTAAGCCAAATGTTGAACTCATAACAGTCAATTGGACTTATTTGTTGTGCTTGGTAGTTGATGACATGCCAGGACAAGTCAATCCTTTTGTGAGGAAATTTAAAAGAAGTGTATTTAGATCTAAAGTGGGAAATACTTACCTAATTCTTTATTTTATTTTATTTTTTAAAAAAAGCTTACCTAATTCTTTGTCCCCTTTCAATAATTTACTTATTCTTCCCTAACCTTTACTATTATTTTTCTTCCACTTGTGTCATAGTAACCACAGAGAAAGAGATACACATTGACAACCATCTCAAATTTGTCTCCCCCATTTTGTTGACCAACTTAATGTACATGATTTTTTGTAAACTAATCATATTTTATTGTTTGTGATAGAACAGATCTGTATCAATAATTAGCTATGTTAGGCTGTTAATCAACATAGTTATTCCACACTGCTAATGTCAACAAAAATAATAAATTGGGATGTAGGACCACGCATAGCATGTGTTTCTTAACTAGTACTCCTATAAAAGGAGTTGTCTTCTGTGAATATACGTTCTTCTTATTCGGTTGTGAACTCTCTCCTTATTAATAATTTTATCTGGAAACTTTGACTGCATCTCCTTCACTATATTATCTATTGCGTCTCCAATGTGTCACCAACCCTATTTTCAAGTTTGTGCTCACTATGGAATGCATCATCCATAACATAGTTATTCCACGCTACTAATGTGAACAGAAATAATAAATTGGGATGTAGGACCACGCATAGCGTGTGTTTCTTAACTGGTACTCCTATAAAGGAGTTGTCTTCTATGAATACACGTACTTCCATAGCAAAAGCAATTCAAAGATATCTCAATCATTTGATTCCCCACAAAATAACTCTAGATTAGGTACAAATTGAGCCTTTTGTGGGAATAATTTGCTCACTTCATATCTTACACTTTTCTCTCCAACTTTGTTATATACCCTCGTTTAACAACCATATATATCGAGCACCGTGCCAGAAGTCTGCAACATTAGCTTCCACACAATCAAGTCAACGTCCAGTTAATTGTGCCAAGAAGAAGCACAGTTTCTGAATCAAGTATGACCACAACTTCAGAAGCAGTTATGGGATTTGAGGATGAGACAGCAGAGCTGATACAACGACTTGTTCGGGGCCCGAAACATTTAGATGTGGTCTCCCTTGTTGGAATGCCTGGAATAGGTAAGACAACTTTGGCGAAGAGATTGTATACTCATAATGATATAATCGATCGCTTTGATGTTTGTTCGTGGTGCACTATTTCTCAAGTATATAATAAGAGAAAGACATTGCTTGAATTATTGGGTAATTTGGTTCCTCCGAATAACAACACAAGGAGCAATGATGAACTAGCAGTTGAGCTGCGAAGACATTTGCTAAGAAAGAAATACTTCATTGTCATTGACGATTTATGGAGCCCTGAAGTATGGAATGACTTAAAAAGATGTTTTCCAGATGATTACAGCTGCAGTAGAATCATTTTGACAACCAGACAAGACAAAGTGGCTTCTTATACTGAAGTTTTTAGTGCTCCTCATCATCTTCGTTTATTCACAGATGAAGAAAGTTGGTGCTTATTGCAAAAGAAGTTGTTTGGACAAGAAAGTTGTGCTCCGCAACTTGAGAAGATAGGAGTGAAAATAGCACAAAGCTGCGGAGGGCTTCCACTTGCAATTATTTTGGTAGCTGGTGTTCTTGCAAAACTGAACAAGGAAGAAATTCGTTGGGAAGAAGTTGCCAATGGTGTAAGGCCATGTACTGCTGGTGATACGCAAAAGTACATGGACATAATTGACTTGAGTTTCAGATATTTACCTTCTCAATTGAAGCGTTGTTTTCTTCACTTTGGAAGATTTTGTGGAGATGAACTCTTGGTCCGAGAGTTGATACAACTTTGGGTTGCTGAAGAATATGCAGTAGGTAATGAATTAAAGAGCGCAAAGGATGAAGCAAAGGGCTACGTGATGGAGTTAATAGAGAATAACCTTGTAATGATTGTCCAAAGGAGCTTCTTTGGTGAGGTGAAAGCAATTCGCATGCATGATCTATTACGTGAGTTTTGCTTGTCTAGAGTTGATTTTCTAAGGAGGTGAGATTTAAATCAAACCAACACAGACTTTATCACTTAAGACTATTAACTCTACTGGTTCTTACTATTTTCTTCCTTTTGGTACTTATTTTCTTACCAGGTCAGATGATTCAAGTTCTAGTGACCCACCATATTACCTTCAAATGAATTATCTCCTTCATCCTGAAAGTGGATCAGATTCCTTACGCTCTGGTAGCCCGCCAGGTCCCCATTCTGCTCATTTACTCCCTTCTGATAATATACTTAATCAGAATATTATTCTCGTCTATGACTGCAACCACCTTTCTCATGATGACTATTATAAATCATTGAGAATATTGGATTTGTCATGCATCACATTAAGAAGTACGTCCCCTATTCAATCTTTGATTAATTTAAGATACCTGGCCCTAAAGGGGAACTTTGAGGCGGATCCTTCATGGTTATCTGAGCTCAAGAGCTTAGAAACAGTGATACTTAGGGAATCACGCAGATTAAATCTATCACATGCAATATGGGGTATGGTAAGCTTAAAACATTTGGAAGTGACTGGTAAACCAGCTGTCATTAGGTGCAATATCGCAGAGTTTGAGACATATCCCCCTTTAGAGAAATTACAATGGCTTTCCTTTGCACTCTTACCTGGAGGTGAAGAGTTCCAACAGTTTGTGTCAAAAGTACCCAATTTAGTAAAGCTGAGGTGTTTGGTTGAGGAGCCACAAGGTGATCGGACATGCATTTGGCTTCCAGGTTTAGAATCTCTGAATAAACTTGAATCTCTAAAAGTCTATTTTCTGAAACGTAGTGTAAGGCGATTTGAGGTCAACTTCCCCATGAATCTCAAGAAGTTGACCTTGTCATCATGTCAATTACCATGGAGTGAAATTTCAATCATAGGAAATTTGGAAAATTTGGAGGTGCTCAAGTTGGAGTCTAATGCTTTTGAGGGAGAGCAATGGGATGTTAAAGACGAGGAGTTTCAGAATCTCAAGCTCTTGACATTCTACAACATGAATGTTCCTTCTTGGAACTTTTCTGATATGTCCTTTCCTAATCTCCAGCGTGTGATTTTCAGAAACAGTCGACTGAAAACAAATATTCCGCGCAGCTTTGGAGACTTACTTTTGCTGCAGATGATTGAGCTGTCTTGGTGCAAATGCAGTCGCCGTACCATAAACTCTGCTGAGGAGATTAAGAAAGCTCAAGTTGAGGATATGGGAAATCATGAATTCAAGCTCATTATCAAGTCTAGAGAGGAGGATGAAGAAGAACTTGGACTGATGTGGCAAGTTGACTCGGATCTGCGAAATTGGAAATTTTATTTCTGTTTTCTTCTACTTCTTTTCTTGATCATTTCCAATATTTTTTCGAGTTTCTGAAAAAATGAAGGCAGCTAGAGGTTGTACTCACCCAACTTTAAGGCAACCCCTTTTCCTCTGTACTTAATAAGACAACTTGATTATTGATTGCCAACTTTAGTATTTCAATTTGCAATTGTTAATTCACTTTCACTAAAATAACACTAATTCTTAAACAAACACCGCCGCCTAGACGACTTGATTATAGTTCAATATATTTGGTGTTTCAAAATTGCTGATTCACCTTTGCTAAAGTAATAGTAATTCAAAACCAACAGTTATTTTGGATCTTTCATTGTTGTTTTTTAATTTCTTGATGATATTAAATTAGCCAGGAAACGAATAATTAAAATTTTCTTTTCTTATAGTTGATCCAAACACCCTTCTTATAAACTCTTCGTTTTCTACTCTTTCTTCATCTCTCTCTCTCTCTCTGCTCAACTTCTCATCGAAACTTAGATGCTTATTTAGATGCTTTTACCCTCACCATCCCAAACAATGATCTTTCCTTTAGCGAGGGAGTACAACTATTAGCACTATTGTTAAATTTTTGTTTGGTATTAGCTTCATTTGTTGAACTAATATTGTTTTGTTTATTTTCTGAACTCTCTTGCGTTTTGTCCAAATTGAGCAGAATGGATAGTGAATAGTCATATACCTGTCCTCATCTAGCTTTAAATTGAGGTATTGTTGTTAATGTTGTTGTAGTTGTTTGTTTGTTTGTTGTTGTTGTTATTATTGTTATTTAAGTTATTCCTGCCTAATGCAATCATGTTTGTACTGGCCTTTTTGTATTGTAGGTTTCTGTTAGCATCCTTCTTCTGGTACTAGTTACGGGCAGCCCGTGCCCCGTGCTAAAGGCCAACCTAGATAATTTCCTTTTCCAAGTTTTTTCATACTTTTAGGGGTCGTTTGGTTTGAATACGGCTTATGCCGGGAGAAGTTATACTGGTATAAGTTATGCTGGGATTGTTTTTTATCCATTTGCCTAATCCAGGATACTAGCACTTAAGTTGCCTCTGTATCTCAGTACTATCTTCCTTAGAACTGTTAGCACTTATAGAGTTGGTGAGTACTTCAACAAAATGGCAAAAAATTGAAAATATATCACAAGCTTTCATGTCATTCATCTGAAATATTCAAAATGATCAAAGTAACCTGACAATCATAAGATTTTACACAATTTAATCCCACCCCACTGCTTCTGAGACTAGCACTTAATTTGCCCTAGCTGTATCTCAGTAGGATCTTCCTTGTAACTGTTAGCTCTTACAGAGTTGGTACAGGTTTCCAGCATATAACAGGCACGAGACACCAAATTTTATAAGATGAGAAAGACAACAAGAAGCATAATAGAGACTGTCTTATCTGTTGGAGCTAGGACAAAACAGAAAAGACTCACTAGGAACTGGGGAAAAAAAGAGAGGAGAAAGACACAGCTATGAGTTCCCTAGCTTTTTCTTAAGCAAAGAAGAAAGACACAGCTATGAGTTCCCTAGCTTTTTCTTGAGCAATGTTGTTCACCAAATAAGTAAGAACTAGTTTTCACCAAATAAGGAAGAACTAACTGAGCTTTACATCAAGCTATCAATGCACTAAAGATGCACCTAGTTGTACCTCAACTCAAAAGGGCGTGCCTTGAACAACACCTAACATTGCTCTCTGTTAGGTATATGGAGTAAGCATACAAAGATTCCAAAAGATGCTGAAATCTTAGTACTCGTTAACATGAAGGAAAATGGGAAACATTATCACAGTAAACTGTGAGAGAATGGTTTTGTAGCGTTATATCAAGAGGGAATAAGGACTAGTCATGATGAGTATGGTTAAGAAAAGCACAATCAAATTGGATTTCATAGAATGAGTGATGCAAAGAGATTTTTGAACCTTTGATTTTTTTATCAGTAAGTTATAAGCCTTTGATTTTCCCTTACAAGAAATATAATACATAAATTATTACAAATCAAATATATAGGGGAAGAGCAAGCCTGTTACAGTCAACTGAAAATGAATTGAAATAAATAAATACATAAAGGAAAAGGCCTTACTCTGCCTTCAGGGCTCTTCTTCATCCTTTCAAGAACCCTATCAAAAGCTGGTTTACCTGTTGTCTCACCCAAAGCAGCAATAAGATCTGCTCTTCGAGGATCTAGCAACGCCCCAACTGCAACAGCAGCCTGCTACCACCCTTTCAACCGAAGACGACTACCTTCTATCATTGCCACCCAAATCTGAAAAACAAAAACCTGAACCATGAAATGCACCCAAGGGTCTGGCCTCGTAGTCAATGAAATGGGAGGAGACCATGAGGTCTCAAGTTCAAATCCTCGGAGGCAAAAAACAATAGGTGATTTCTTATCATCTGACTAAACCTACGTGGGCAGAGTTACCCGATCCCAATACTGGGATGTACCGGGTGGAATAGTCAAGGTGCGCCACAAGTTGGTGCAGACTCCATCGTCATTGAAAAAAATTTATTAAAAAAACACCGAACCATGAAACAAAAAATTGAAATAAAAATCATTAATTTCCTCGAACCAATATATGAACTTCAAGGACCCACCAACATACATTGACTTACAAGCATGATTTACCAAAACCATGTTTTCATTTATCATTTGGTAAATCATGCTTGTAAGTCAATGTATGTTGGTGGGTCCTTGAAATTCATATATTGGTTCGAGGAAATTAATGATTTTTATTTCAATTTTTTGTTTCATGGTTCGGTGTTTTTTTAATAAATTTTTTTCAATGACGATGGAGTCTGCACCAACTTGTGGCGCACCTTGACTATTCCACCCGGTACATCCCAGTATTGGGATCGGGTAACTCTGCCCACGTAGGTTTAGTCAGATAATAAGAAATCACCTATTGTTTTTTGCCTCCGAGGATTTGAACTTGAGACCTCATGGTCTCCTCCCATTTCATTGACTACGAGGCCAGACCCTTGGGTGCATTTCATGGTTCAGGTTTTTGTTTTTCAGATTTGGGTGGCAATGATAGAAGGTAGTCGTCTTCGGTTGAAAGGGTGGCAGTTGGTTCTGCAGTTGGGGCGTTGCTAGATCCTCGAAGAGCAGATCTTATTGCTGCTTTGGGTGAGACAACAGGTAAACCAGCTTTTGATAGGGTTCTTGAAAGGATGAAGAAGAGCCCTGAAGGCAGAGTAAGGCCTTTTCCTTTATGTATTTATTTATTTCAATTCATTTTCAGTTGACTGTAACAGGCTTGCTCTTCCCCTATATATTTGATTTGTAATAATTTATGTATTATATTTCTTGTGAGGGAAAACCAAAGGCTTATAACTTACTGATAAAAAAAATCAAAGGTTCAAAAATCTCTTTGCATCACTCATTCTATGAAATCCAATTTGATTGTGCTTTTCTTAACCATACTCATCATGACTAGTCCTTATTCCCTCTTGATATAACGCTACAAAACCATTCTCTCACAGTTTACTGTGATAATGTTTCCCATTTTCCTTCATGTTAACGAGTACTAAGATTTCAGCATCTTTTGGAATCTTTGTATGCTTAGTCCATATACCTAACAGAGAGCAATGTTAGGTGCTGTTCAAGGCACGCCCTTTTGAGTTGAGGTACAACTAGGTGCATCTTTAGTGCATTGATAGCTTGATGTAAAGCTCAGTTAGTTCTTCCTTATTTGGTGAAAACTAGTTCTTACTTATTTGGTGAACAACATTGCTCAAGAAAAAGCTAGGGAACTCATAGCTGTGTCTTTCTTCTTTGCTTAAGAAAAAGCTAGGGAACTCATAGCTGGGTCTTTCTCCTCTCTTTTTTTCCCCAGTTCCTAGTGAGTCTTTTCTGTTTTGTCCTAGCTCCAACAGATAAGAAAGTCTCTATTATGCTTCTTGTTGTCTTTCTCATCTTATAAAATTTGGTGTCTCGTGCCTGTTATATGCTGGAAACCTGTACCAACTCTGTAAGAGCTAACAGTTACAAGGAAGATCCTACTGAGATACAGCTAGGGCAACTTAAGTGCTAGTCTCAGAAGCAGTGGGGTGGGATTAAATTGTGTAAAATCTTATGATTGTCAGGTTACTTTGATCATTTTGAATATTTCAGATGAATGACATGAAAGCTTGTGATATATTTTCAATTTTTTGCCATTTTGTTGAAGTACTCACCAACTCTATAAGTGCTAACAGTTCTAAGGAAGATAGTACTGAGATACAGAGGCAACTTAAGTGCTAGTATCCTGGATTAGGCAAATATGGGGTAATCGTTGGGTTGAGTGGGCAGAGTTGAAATCTGTAGGTATTAGTGGAGGAATTATCATCCTATGGGACAAAAGACAATGGGCAAACAGGGATACTCATCAAGGTTACTACACTCTATCATGCATGCTAGAAAGTCTGCATGAACAATTCAAATGGTGTTTTACAGGGGTGTATGGGCCACACACAAATCCTGAAAGAGAGGAACTTTGGCTAGAACTTGCAGCAATCAGATCTATCTAGAATGAGCAATGGGTTATAGGGGGTGATTTCAATGTTTGTAGGTATGAAAGTGAAAGATTCAATTGTGTTAGAAGGTCCAGGGCCATGGTATCCTTCTCAGACATCATTCAAGACCTGGGTATTATAGACTTGCCTCTACAAGGAGCTTATTATACATGGTTCAGAGGTGAAGACTCATTGCAAGCTTCGAGAATAGACAGGTTCTTAATTTCCCCTGAATGGTGCGACAGTTTCAAATCTATCAAGCAGCTAGCCCTCCCAAGAGTGATCTCTGATCACAGACCCCTACTCCTTGAGTGTGGTGACTGGGAAGCCACCCCCTCTTATTTCAAATTCGAGAATATGTGGCTACAGGTGGAGGGTTTCATTGATAAGGTTAAAAATTGGTGGCAGAGCTATGTGATAGGAGGCAACCCAGATTTTATACTAGCGCAGAAACTGAGAAGGCTCAAGGCAGACATCACTAATTGGAACAGAGAGGAGTTTGGCAGACTGGATACACAAAAGACTAAACTACTGGAGGAGTTAGCAATGCTGGAGCAAACAACAGAGAACATGACCCAAACACAAGCTGAAAAGGAGAAACTAATGCAGATAAGAGTGGAATTACAGCAAATAGCAAAAGTTGAGGAGGTTTCATGGAGACAAAAATCAAGATGTTTATGGCTTAAAGAAGGTGACAGGAACACTAAGTTCTTTCAGAAAATGGCTAACTCCCACAGAAGGAACAATTACATTGACAGATTGAAGATAGGGGAGGAAATCACTGAGGACCAAGAATCCATCAAAGCTGAAATCCTAAGCTTTTATCAGGGGCTCTATTCAGAAAGTGAGCAATGGAGGCCTAGTGTCAACTTTGAAAACTTAGCTAGGATCTCAATGGAGGAAGAAGTGTGGCTGGAAAGAGCCTTTGAAGAAGAAGAAATGATGGCAGCCATCAATTCTTGTGCACCAGATAAAGCCCCAGGGCCTGATGGCTACACAATGGCTTTTTACCAAAAAACTTGGAACTTTATCAAGCCGGACATTATGGCAGCAATCAACCATTTCCACCATAACTGTCATATGGTAAAGTCCAGCAATGCCTCCTTCATTGCACTTGTCCCGAAGAAAAAAGGTGCAGTAGAGCTCAAAGACTTTAGACCAATAAGCCTTATTGGAAGTGTGTATAAGATAGTGGCTAAACTTCTGGCAGAAAGAATGAAGACAGTGATGGGGAAGCTAATCTCAGGGGAACAGAATGCATTCCTAAAAGATAGACAGATAACTGATGCAGCTCTTATTGCAAATGAGCTGCTGGATGAGCGACTTAAAAGTGGAGTCCCCGGAACCCCATGTAAACTAGACATAGAGAAGGCATTTGATCAAGTCAACTGGTCCTATCTTCTGTCAACACTAAAGGGAATGGGATTTGGTGAAAGATGGATAAGGTGGATCAAGTTCAGTCTAACCACTGTCAAATACTCAGTCCTCATCAACAGATCTCTCCCCTCAGAAAGGGATTAGGCGAGACCTTCTCTCGCCTTTTCTCTTCATCATAGTAATGGAAGGTTTGAGCAAAATGCTTGATAAAGCAAGGCAATTAGAATGGATTGAAGGGTTCAAGATAAGCAGCAACTCAGGGAATTCAATCTCAATCTCCCATCTGTTATACACAGATGACACACTAATCTTCAGTGGGGCTGAAAAACTACAGTTGCAGTACCTCAATCAAACCCTCCTTATTTTTGAATCTATTTCAGGTCTACACATAAACATGCTGAAAAACATGATATATCCTGTCAATGTGGTACCTAACTTAGACGAGCTGACAGGTATAATGAGTTGTGACATTGGCTCATTTCCTACTACCTACCTCGGACTACCCTTGGGAGCAAAACATAAGTCAGTGGAGGTGTGGAATGGTGTGATTGAGAAAGTGGAGAAAAGGTTAGCAACTTGGCAGATGCATTATCTCTCAATGGGTGGAAGGGTGACTCTGATCAACAGTGTTTTGGACAGCATACCAACCTACATCATGTCCCTATTCCCTATGCCAAGTAAAGTCCAAAAGCAGCTAGACAAATTGAGAAGATCCTTTTTATGGGAAGGTAACAGTGAAGGTCACAAATTCCATTTGGTGAAGTGGGCAACTGTAACTCAGCCAAAGTCACAAGGTGGTCTGGGCATTAGAGATCTTTCAAAACACAACAAGAGTTTGCTAATGAAGTGGCATTGGAGATATGGGCAAGAAGGCACAAGCTTATGGAAGGAAATAGTAAAAGCCAAATATGGTCAGCTGGATAATTGGAGTACCAGAACCACAAGAGCTCCTCATAGGGTTGGGCCCTGGAAGCACATCAACAGCCTAAAGGAAGTCTTCCAACAAGAAGTGTCCTTCAAAGTTGGTAATGGAGCACATGTGAAATTTTGGAAGGATAAGTGGCTAGGGAACTTCACACTTCAAGAAACTTTCCCCACTCTATTCCACCTAGCTACTAATCCTAACTCAACAGTCGCACAGAATAGATCCAACAACACTTGGGAGGTCCTTTTCAGGAGAAACATACAAGACTGGGAGATAGAAGAAGTGCTTGATCTACTTGGAAGGTTAGCAAATTGTACAATGAGTATCCAGCACACGGATAAGCTACGATGGGGCACTTCTAAGGAAGGGGAATATACAGTGAAGGCAGGCTACAATAAACTTTGTGCTTTGAATGAAGTTATTGACATGTGGCCTTGGAAGCTAATCTGGAAAACCAAAATGCCTACAAAGGTCAGCTGTTTTGCATGGACGACTCTTAAAGGTGCTATTTTGACACAAGACAATCTTTGTAGGAGGAGCTTCCAGATTGTTAATAGATGCCACATGTGTAAGCTAAACTCAGAATCAATCAATCACCTATTTCTGCATTGCACAGTGGCTATTGATCTCTGGCACATGTTCTTCTCAATTTTTGGTATCAGCTGGACACTACCCCAGAACATTAAGGAAGCAGTTGAAAGCTGGAGCTTTTGGAAAGTCAGCAAGGCCATCAAAAGTATCTGGAAAATGGTCCCAGGTTGCATATTTTGGTGTCTTTGGACAGAAAGAAATCGAAGATGTTTTGATGGCATTTCAACTTCTATTCACTTTTTGAAAGCTAGATGTCTGGTGTATCTTTTTAGTTGGAGAAATATCTCCCCTGTAAATAATGTTATCCCCTTTCTAGACTTTATTGGCTCAATGAGCCTAGCCTGATGGCCCATTTTTTTTGGTTAGCTCCCTATGATTAGAATAGCACATGATGTACTGGAGCTAACATCTCTTCTTTTGTACTAATTGCATCTTCTTGATTCCGACAATACAACACCTTACTTCATCAAAAAAAAAAAAAAAAAAAGAAAAAAAAAATTAAGTGCTAGTCTCAGAAGCAGTAGGGTGGGAGTAATTGTGTAAAATCTTATGGTTGTTGGGCTACTCTGATCATTTTGAATATTTCAGATGACTGACATGAAAGCTTGTGATATATTCACTTTTTTGCCATCTCGTTGAAGTACTCACTATCTCATTTGGCTCTTTTCATCCTATGCCTTTTTGGGAAACCATTTCAAAAAGTTGTCCCAGATTAGCTTTAAGTATATTTTTTTTAATGATTGTGGTTTCAATGTAGGGGTAAGATTTGCGTACGCATTACCCTCCCCAGATCCCACTTGTGGGATTACACTGGGTGGGTTTGTTTTTGTTTGTTGTAGTTCTCAATGTATTTACACTTATATATCAGGAAATACTGTTGGAGCGACCTCGTGTGATTTCTGCAAAAGTGGGGCATGCATGGGACCTACCTGATAACACTTTTGGTGCTGCATACGCAAAATTTATGGGATCTAGGAACTTTTCACCTGATGATCGTCCACCAGTGCGATTCATGGAAACTGAAGAGTTGGCATATGTAGCTATGCGTGCTCGCGAGGTGCATGACTTCTGGCACACCCTTTTTGGCCTTCCAACAAACCTGATTGGAGAAACAGCACTAAAGGTGATCGAGTTTGAACAGATGCTACTCCCTATGTGTTTGATGTCTGTGCTAGGGGGTACAGCAAGGTTTAGTGACAAGCAAAGGAGCTTGTTCTACCAGCATTACTTCCCATGGGCTCTAAAGGCTGGAGCTCGTTCCACAGATCTCATGTGCGTGTACTATGAAAAACATTTTCATGAGGATTTGGAAGATGTTCGCCGCAAATGGGGGATAATTCCAGCTCCCCCTCATCCAAGACCAAATGCAACAATTGTTGTACCTCTTTGAAGAGGAACTGAATCGATTACTGACTTCCTATGCAATTTTGTTTTGCTCTATACGAACAAATGTAAATATTTACTCAGAGTAACACAATGACCTATTGCAGTTGTCTTTGTTGTGTCAACTGTTTTCTATTTGAAAACTTCTTAGGTTATTGTGCATTAAATATCAGTGAGGACTGAATCATTCTTCACTTGTCTTTGCTGAGGATAGTTAAGTGTCAAATGTACTGTACACAAGATTTGTTGCTGTCCTAGGACATCATTGCCTACTTCAATAATGAGCTACTTTCTTTTGTTCTCATTTTCATTTTATTAAGTTGTTTGTACACATGAGTTCTTTTTATCACACCATTTGTCACGGAAGCCAACCAAATGTTTTCATGTTTGATATGAAAATCTCTTACAACAAATAAATCTGAAACTTCTACAGATATTTGTAATGATGAAAGAATGAAAAAAAAATGATTTACAATGATAAAATAGCTGTTCCACTTGGTAGATAGAAGTCGTGAGAGTAGCATAGACATCTTTTCAAGTAGTCATAATAATGCATATTGAGATGAAATCCCTCGCGACTATGTAGAGATCTTTGATTTTTCAAAATTTGATTACTATGTAAGGTCATATAAGGTCCTAAAAACATAGGGAATAGAGAGGGAAATTGGTGAAAAAATCTTAAGTTCAAGGTTCTTGGATGTTCACTTTGAAGCAAAAGGTACTACCTTTACTCAATCAAAGTTTTGAAGGGGCTAAGGAAACCTGGAAATGAGAAGCCCTTTGCTCAATATACCATTAATAGAGGCTGCTGGGACTGGTCTCAAATAGTTTATGCTTTCGATTAAGGCGATCAACAGGATAAAGTTCATCACTTCATCAAATACTATCGCAGCCTGAGAAATGAAGTATCCCAAATTTGATTTGAAAATATCAGCTATATAAAATCAAGAACATATGAAATTTAGGCAACAAAAGGTGTTCAATCAAATGATCAATCAACAAAAGTCGCATATTACATTAGATAGTAGTAACTTTAGTTTCAAGTGTCAACTGGGACTTTGGACGGAAGTTTATCCATTTAACACTTCACAACAACCTGAAATACTCGCAATTACAATTACAACATAGTCGAAAGACAAAAGGTAAAGAAACAATAAGACAATTATCCAACTGTAGATTGGAGAATTGCTTAGCTGCTGCCATCACCGAAGAGATATCCCAAAGAAGATCCACCTCCAGGAGCAGCGTGGACTTTGGTAGATGGTCGGTCCTGCATCAAGGTAATAGTCCCCGTTAAAACTAGACACGTTTATCTAGAACTCAATGCATTGATATGATTATACAAGACTAAAGTTAACAAGATCTAATCCGCTATAAGATATTATTTTTTCATCAACATAGAGGTTAAATCTGGAGATGAATGCTAGGGATCCAGAACTGAATTGTATAGGGTTTCAACCGAAATATCCTTAGTAGTTTATTTTAGCAAATCCTTCTAAAATATAACAGTTAGTGGTGGACAACTACCCGACATTGATTACAATGGCTACCAGTGACAGATGCGTTCAACACAGCACACTAATATCCGAATTCAGTAAGTCGAGCAAAAGTGATCTGTTAAAGCACAAGGTAGAGATGGTAGAAGCATGAAAATCACAAGATCACCCTCGTGGTCAGAAACCATGTCATGTTCCAAGACATCCCTAGATATTTTTTATAACTAAATCACTGTGTTGTATCATGTAACTTTTGCATCAGAGACTTTACTGTGGTTTTCAGCAACCAATAAATGTTACATAACCTAAACATTTGCAGGGTCATTTATGTTGGGCAGCAAATGGATGGTAGGAAAAATTGAATGGATCTAATAAATCGATGTATCACTTCTGAATCACGAGACAATAAACTAAATCCAATCCGATCCATTGTTTGTGATAATTAGTGAAGCTAATCTATTTGCAAATTCACTTCAGGCTCTTCTTTTTTACTTCAATTTTTTGATGAAGTAGTATTATATATGACATCAAGAAGATGAACGATAACACTGATCTGATCCGATCAAGATATTTCTCCAGCAAAGCATGAAAATGAGCTAGATAAGCATTTCAGAAGACATTATCCTAATTGACATGAAGGCAATACCGTGATAAAGTTGCCTGTGTTTTGACCATCTCTCCTGAAATGGTTGAATGAATGGGTGCTCTGAATACCAGCAGGAATCTGCTTAGTAGCATCAACTGGAGCAGAAACAGCAGGCTTTGAAGCTGGCTCTTTATTTATTGCCTGTCCTTCACTTTGAACAGCTCGGACATTTTCCGTGCTTGATTTTGGCGCTTCACTGCCCCCAAATAAGTATCCCAGTGAACTTTGCCCTCCTCCATAGCTGACTCCACGACCCATATCTCCAATTATCTCCTGTTAAAGAGTTCCAGCAACAACCTGATTCAAGAAATAAGAGCAAAACTTTCAAATAAGTCAGTGAAGATGAAATGCACGAAGCTACAACAGAAAACAAGAAGCAGGGCAGATAGTCAAACAACAGAAATGAGGAAAGCCATTACACTTTAAGCATTTGGAGACTGTCACACTTACTAGTCTGTTAATAATTCAGAAAAGAACCAAGAAAATTCAATTGAACTTGAAAAGTTTTGAAGTCTGCATTCTTCTTTTTTTTTTTCAACTAGGGAAACGTGGAAAGTGACATCTTCATTTCAACCACATATCAGAAGAAGAATACAACTATTTGCCAACACAGAGCATCTAAGCATGCAGGGAGAATGAAAAGAAACAACAAGAAACAGAGATACCATCTTAGTCACAACTAGAAGAGTAGTATTCGCAAGTCACTTGCCAATCATATTTCCCTCCTCTGAACTAAACCAAAATCACCATTATCTTTAAGGTCTAGAATAAATAAAAGAGCTCTCTTGCCTCTAAGACAATTTCAGACTTGTCCTTACAAAAATTAAAATAAAAAGAAGACAATTTCAGACTTGCAATTTCCTCCATAAATTATTGCGTTACTTTTTAGTTGATTGAGTTCTCCCTAGGCTCCGCATTTTGTCTTTTCCTTTATGACCTCCATCGCCTGGTTTCTCTGACCTCGGGGATGTGGTCGATGACCAGTAAAAGTGGCAGGAAAGTATTGTCTTCTCTTTCTTCCCCTCTTACCTCCAACGGCTAGAGGTGAGTGGAAACTTGTCGATTCTCCAAGGATCCACATTTTCTTACCACATTCCCAATTAAAAACGAATGAGAAGCCCCTAGTACTGACCAAACTAGTTATTTACTCCTCAAATCTTTGCCCCACTAATTCATCAACACCTTCCCTCAACATACACCATACCTAATTTCTCTTCCATCGGGCCCCAAAAAACAGGAGGAAGTTAATCTTCCACTCAAACAGAGACACCCTGAACCTGAAGTCCTAAGATCCCAAATTTCTAGACAAAACCTATAGCATACCCATTACTCACACTCTCCCTTTCTGAATCAGTAATCTTTTACTTGAACAAAAAATCTGAATCAAGCCTTAATCATCCAAGAATTCACACCCAATATTGCTACTTTAGCGAACAGCTGGTTCTCAAATGCTTAAACAAAAATTGAATTGCTTTTTGAAGTGAAATCCAAAATCTCATACAATGAAAAAACAACCAAACAACAAATTAACAAGAACATAATACCCAAATTCAATTTTATTTCAAAAATCAAACTGTCAACAAAAATATCACAACACATACAGAAATACACACAAATAGAGACGAAATCTTATGCATATACATAAATCTGATTGATTTTAAGCAGAACATAGAGATCTGGGATTTAGAGATTCAGGGTTACCTTTGATTCTTTTGGATCAGATCAGCGTTTCTGGAGCTGTAGAAGAGAGACCCTTTAATGATGAAAGAAAGAAATGGAAGTAGACTAGTAGTGGAGTGAATGTACTATTGCCCTTTTTTGTTTTTGTTTTTTGTTTTTTCTATGGCCATTTGATATTTATTTGGTATTTACTAATCCAACTAATTTAAATTCGGGCCGCGTCAATTATCATTTTTAGCCAGTATCAGAAATTATTTATATACAATAGCAAAAAATTAATAAATATAGATTTATAGTATAATTTTTGCATATAATATATAGAGTGTGTATATCTATAAAAATATATATATTTTTTCAACTATTATTTTAATAACAACTATACAGTATCATTTTCCTTAATAAAAAGTCTAAATCTTTTTGAGGTTCCTCCATTCTTATGATTCAAGCCCGACACTTTTGTTAATAATTAAATAATCTCGTATATCCAATCATATCCTTTGATGGTATAGAGTTTGCTTGCTTACTACTCTTGTAATATTAAAATTTGGTTTTATTTTTAAATATTTGTTCGCATATTTTTGTCTAGTACATATTTACAAATGATAAAAGTGCCATAAGATATTTAAAAAATGTAATAAGAATTATATTGATTTTCTTAAATATAATATTTATGTTGAATAAGAACGGGAGTCTTGGAGTAACAGTAAAGTTGTCTATGTGTGACATATAAGTCACGAGTTCGAGTCGTGAAAGCTGCGACTAATACTTGGAATAAGGTATGTTGCCTACATCACACCTTTTGAGTGCGGCCTTTCTTTGAA